AAAAAGAGGAAGAGCTTATGCCGATGATGCCGTCTTCACTAAAGCTTACTTGCGATTTATACCCAAACCGCAACACAGCGCAGATAAACCATATGTCTTATCAGTGTTTTCCACAAACTTTTTTAAATTCAATGTTCTGGTTTTGCGACAGCTTTGAAGAATTTTCTGCTCGGCCATACCAGTTTTCTTAAGCTTTCTCCCCCCTTAAGTTGCTCGAGTTCTTCTACGAAACAACAAGCTTGCCAAAAGTTTGCCACGTGGCGATGTAAGCCAGCCCCGGTCATTCCATTTTTTTTTCCTGGCAAGATGACACACTATCGCTCGGCTGGCCCCGCGGCCCCGCCGGTGCACTCGAGTGCATAAATTGTAATCCTGCTGCGATGCGGCGTTGGCATATTCCCCCTCCCCTTTTCCAAGTCATCGATCTGTCGATTAATGCACGACGATATTCATACCCCCTCAGTAATGCACGTTCTGTGTAGGCAAAGCCCACACTTGCACTCACAACACAACACCTTTCGCGCCACCCACAGCATATACGTTTTCTTAAAGTTTTTTCGACCAACAACCTTATAATTTTCGACGACAAAACTTATAGACGCGCCAAATCATTTCAGTTTTAAGTTGAGCTTATTTTCAAAAGCAGTTTTGAAGGGCATTTTTACACGACCCATATGCCCCGTAAATCGAAACCGACCGAAACTTTTCCTTTGCAGGGAGGCTCTGGAAACAATTATACACCTTGGCCGGCCCGACACGCATGTATACTAATCTTAGGTTCTTTTTTTCCAGCACAGCAAAGGCGATCGGCAAAATAAAAATAGAACGTCGACGCGTGCGTCTGCTGAATTATTCCGTCCCAAACCCCGCCGCAACACGCAGCGCGTGGCGGGCCGCAGGGCCGCTTGTGTCTCCTCATCGTGTGCACGTTCACATCCATGATTGAGCGGCGCCTCGGCGCTTCCCAATGCAAGACCGTCGCGCCCCGCCCCGCCGCGCCCCGCCGCGCCACGGTGCATCCATTAGGCGTTCGGCGCCACGCCACGCCCCACCCCGCCTCGCCCCGCCACGCCACGCCGCGGCGCCGAGGACGGACGGCCGAGCAGGGGGGCAAACGCCCCGACCCTCGCTGCGCCGCTCGCGCCGCGACCCGAGACTGACCCACTTCGTAGTGCGGCACACAGTGGCTGCAGCGGGGCGCGCACGCAGCAGTGGCGCACACGGCGAACCAGCACCTCACCATGCAGGCCACGCCGGCGAACAGGTTAGCTAAGAATAGCGCCCTCCCCCCGCCGCCACCCTCCCGTGTGCGAGAGAGAGAGAGAGAGAGGTGCTGATGGCTATAAGGGTTGGAGAGCCGCACCCAACCCCTCCGGTGTTGCAGGCAGGGGGTGAGGGGTGCAGGGCGGGTGGTTCGTTTCGGAGTTTCGGTGGCGCCTGGCTGGCGCCACCCGCCACCCGGACAAGACGCGGGCGCCCTTTACCTAGCGTAGTCCCGCCCCGGCCGCCACGGCTCGTCGCAGCCAAGCCAGCCGGGCCGTAAGAGCGAGATTGGGGGACAAGGAGAGAGGGGCAGAGAGGGGCAGAGAGGGGGGAGGAGAGAGAAAGAGAGGGGAGAGGGACGGAGAGAATGGGGAGCGGCAGATAGGACAGCAGCGACAGCAGGGCAGTGTACATAGCCTTTTGATAAGCACTGCATGGAGCCCAGGCAGGTCGGTCTATTCTTGGCTTATCAGTCTGCTGGGCCTTCGCCGGCGCCCCCGGCCCCACCCCGCCC